ACAACTGTATTCACACCTCCCTCAGAGGCGGAAAGCTGATAATTTAAGAGGTGTCTTATCTTCACATTTTCCATCAACTATTTTCAAAAATCCAGAATCACAATCAAGAGTGAGCATCCTTTCTCTAGCTGGTTTCTTCATTCAGTCAGTCTTAGAATCATGGAATCCTTAGGTTGGCAAATAAAATCACAGATTCATTGAGTCCAACTGTTGCAACTATTATAATAAGTCAGTAATAATCTAGGGCAAAATTAATAAACTAACACAGTCAGTTTCAAGGACACTGTGTACATTAGTTGACAGTTGACTGGTCCTTGCCAATGCTTAACACATCCACACAACAAGACATCCGTGTCTCTGTATTTTTAGCATATCCACCTATTGCAGGCTTTAGTACAGCCACTGCAGTGTACATTAAGAACTGGACCTGACAGGATTAATCAGAAAAGTTAATACTAAATGATTTTGATGACATTTCCCACATATGGGACCAAACTAGAAGGATACACTGGCCTGAAGAATCCATGAACAATTGCTTCATCTTGAACTACATTATTCAAGCATTTAGATACAAGGAAAGAAAGAAGAATAGGAACTGTAAAGTCCAAGTGGTCCAAACAAATAATTTCAGACAAACTACATTTTCAAATTGTTTACTGATGACAACCCTGAAATCAAATGGGTTTTTTTGCAAGACCTTTCCAGCAGATAATAAACATCTAATAGTGACACATCTAAATACCTGTAAATGAGATTGCTATACACAGTTTGCAATTCTTTGTTCCCATTACATTTAGAGAAAACCTTGAAGAATAGAGATATGGAAACTTTCTGCAAGCTTCATGAAGGTGACTTTTTGTTTCCTATCACAGTATTTGCAATTCTAACCTGTATTCTTCGGAAACCAAGAGTACTTATCAAGCATTTCTGTTCCTAAGGAAAAGGTATTTTAAATTGTGGCAACCCTAAAGCTTCAGTTCCCATAATGCACAGCTGACTTGCAACTGGGACAAAAAAAAAAGTATTTCCAGTGCCTCATAAAAGCAGCAATTGAGGATAGAAGGTATATGAAAATTAAACTACTTAGAACTCAGAAATAAATAGCAATTTAAGAACAAGCTTTTGATAAAACATAATAGTACCTCAATATCCAAGATTTCCATTTCAATAATATTTCTAAATAATAAAAATAAATTGATTCACACAGTAAACCCTCTTCTATAACAGACACATGCATATATATATGATTTCAAGTTGTCAACTAAGTGTGACCAGAGCAAACTGTTGTTTAATATAAACTGAAGATGAAAATGGAAATGGTTATTAGATATTTAATGACTTCAAATCCATTATTATTTATTGACTGAAATATCTACTTAACAAATACATGCTGCAAAGTTTTGTGCATGCACTATATGGAGTTCTTTGTCATTCAATACAAGCACAGTAAATTAACGAAGCCATCGTTCAACCACACAAAGTCCAACTCTGTGCTCTTAGTACCAGATCAAGGAAAAGAAAACTACAGCTGTATGATGCAAAGTGCTACTCCAGTCTAAATTCACCATTAGTCTGGATCAGTTCACATTCTTTCGACAAATTAACTTCATACCAGCAGATATTACAGCAAATCACATACTGTCTCTCCTGCAGCCAAAGTCAACACAAAGCCGTTATTAAAGCAGAAAGTCAGCACATATAACCTTTACTGTGCTTTGAGTAGTTCAACAGTTATGTCTGTCTGCCCATGACTAAGCCAGATCAAACTGGTATTTGCTGATAGCACAGAGAACCTGTGTTGGAATTGGAAAACCATGACTGCTAACATGAAAATTACTTCTCTTACCTGCAGGGTTTTTTTTCCATAATAGCATAACTTGCTGTAATTTTTTATGCCTGAAACTTTCTCATCCCTGAGCCAGTAACTTAAACATTTTTCTCTCTTAGTTTTTGAGTCTGGGTTTCCTTTTTTAACTGCTACAACTTTACATTATTAATAGAATATTGATGCTGTGTAAAACAGGTAAGAAGTGATATTATCAACAATTACAGGAAGTCCACGTACATACAAAATTTCAGGAAGAACATTTAGCTACAAATGGAAGGACTGCAGACCAGCAATTTCTTTCCTTCAGGAGTAAATAAAATTATGTGTGAGTATACAAATGTTAGTTTCTCATACAGAAACATCCATGCTACTACTTACTACTTAAACAGTGAGCAATAAAGCCCTGAAAGAAATAAAGAACAAAGAAGAATCATCAAAGTAAAAAGGAAAAATAAGCTATTTTATTCATTCACCACTGAAGTAAATGCTTGCATATTTAACAAATCTATCAGAATAAGCTCAAAAACCATAATTCCTCAATACTTTCTCCTAAGTGATAGTGAAGCAGGTCACTAGAAATCCTTATAGATGTATTCATAATTGTGAGGATTGTGAACACTGACATGTCTTAGAATTTTGAGCTGTTTGCAGTGAGTGAACTATTTCAAAAATTATATTATTACACTACTATAATTTCAACATCTATTTTTAAACCCTTTTAGTAACACTTAAGTAATTTGATTCATGGTTCTAAACTTAACATTCTTGGATTCAAGCCTGTTCTTAGTAACTCATGTAATATAATTAAATCAACAGAAAAATAAAATACGGTCTTGCCTATTATTTTTATTGTCAGGAAAGGGCTACCTAGAAAAAAATTGCTAAATAACATCTGATGCACAAACAAGGATCACATTTAAAGAACAGTTTCAAGAGGGTAAATACTCTGAGGAAGAAGGAAAAGGACTACCAAACAGCTCCCTAAGGTCAGTAGGACTCTTCAGTAGAGAGAACTACTGTATGAAGAGGCATATATGTGCTTTCTCCCAGTGAAGTGATCAGGACAGTCACCTGTAAGAACAGCTAAGTTGCAGTATCCATCTCAAGGAATATTTATGTATCCTTAATGAAGGGGAATACTTCAGAGTTGGAACAGATGCACTGCATAGACACACTCTGTTCCCAGCTTCTAAATCATCCAAAAATACCTATTTTCTTTTTTCTCAGTTCAGTTTACTTTTCAACTGCACATGATTCACCTTTGAAACAGTAAGTTCCTTCCTGTCGTTCATCTTGCTTTCACAACACTACTTGCCCTTCCAGGATAATACAAACCATATTCAATTTCCCCCATTTTTGAGGTCATGACAAATATCCCTTACCTGCTTGTAAAGCCAAACTAAAATATAATCTCATCCCAAGTTCTACTTCAACATCCCAAGTTCTACTTCAACATCTCAAGTTCTACTTCAACCAGTATTGCAATACATCTTACACTTAATTAACTTGAGTTACAACTGTTCCTGCTCCCACTTTCTGAAGCTTCTTCTTTTCCAGATAAAGATATTGTCCATCTTCTGCAGTGTAGCATGTAATATTTTTACCACATCTACTTTCAGTTTTAAGTAGAACAGCTATTTCCCCAAAAAGAGACACGCTTGTATGAAGTAGAATAGTGCATTTGCATATAAAATTGCAAGCTGGTTTTTTTTAATGGCTTTTGAAATAAAAACAGTTCATAATTGGTATTTTGTACAGGACCAAGTATTGTTCTTTTTTGTCTGTTTTTCTAAAACTGACATTAAGATAGAAGAAATGAGCAGCTGAAAACTGAAAAATTCAAATTAATTTTTCCCTTTTAGAAGTTTCTAACCCATCAAAAACTCTTTCATAAAACTAAGATTTCAGTTTAAGTCTTAGAAATCTTCTGTTGTTTAACACAGTTCTGTATTTTCAGTCACACCAAATGAATCATCTATAAACAACATACTTAAAAATATGATATCTAAATATAATCTTGTAGGAAAGATATGATCTTGCATTTTCCATGAGAACCTAGGTGTAGTTAAAATTTTGCTGTGCAGTTGTAGTTAACTACATTGAGTAGCTCGTTTTCCTTGTAAAGGATATTTCCACACCTTATAATACATGAGTAGTTAGTGACAAGTTTCTTTTTCTAGTGAGCTGGTTGTAACTTTCACAGAAAGTGAACAAAATCATAGCGAGGTTTCTTGGCTCAAGGGAGGTTGAAAGACTTCACCTTTAGATCATAGATGGCACAGTATCTACTCAAAAAAGGGGAAATTAAACCAAGAGTTGATTTCCAATCACTTAACAATTAATCTCCCCTCCTCCTTAAGTAAAGACAAATCCTTGTTTAAAAACAATTACAAAGGGGAAAAAAGTAAATGTTCACGAACTGCGCAAATGAGAATTCTTTAGAAAAGATGGAGAAACAGAAAAAGAATAGTATGCAATGGAAGCAAAGCAATCTGAGTGAAAACTCGGGAGTAAAGTAGTTGCAAAAGTATCTTAGGAGTGAAAAGTAGCAACACTTTTTAAACGGCAACAAGTTGTTTCAGAAGAAACAAGAAAAAACAAAGGGAGTTCCAAAAGCAAACACTACAGAACAGATGGTGAGAGCAAGTAACTGTTTCTTTCATTTCAACCACTTGAGCTTTTCCTGAAACATATGAAACACTGTATCACAGTTTTTTACATATTCATTGTAACTTTATGTTTATATATTGCAAATATAATAAATATATGTTTGCATGTGTCTCTCACTGATTAGGAACAGGAATAGGATAAGACAGGAATCTCTCACTGCATAAGAAGCTTCTTTAGATAGATAGATAGATAGACAGATAGATAGATGGACAGACAGATAGATGGACAGACAGATAGATAGACAGATAGATAGACAGATAACTTCTTTTTAAACAAGGTCAGTTCTATGGATCATACCTGCAGAATTAATAGCCACTTCCATGGGTGAATGTAAACACTTGTATTACAGAGCATGGAAGACCATTCCTTCAAGAATCAAGTCCCATATCTGCTGGAACTAGGAATTTCTGTTACACTATTGTATTTAGTCACTGCCTTTACTATTTCCTCATACAATTCTGAATAAAGAGAGGTTCAACAAAACACTGATCATTTCTCTTACCGGAGTGAGTGCTCCTTCTGCTTGAGCTTCCATAGGACTTGTAGGGGTGGCCGCAAGAAGCTGTCCAGCAGCTCCAGACAGAAGTTCCAACTTATCTGTAAGCTGTTCAGAAGCAGCAGGATGACACTCCATGTCTAGAACAAACTCCACCCCTGAAGTTTGGTTCTTGCCATTGACATTGTTTCCTGCCCACCCACCCTGTCTGGATTGCTCTTCTCGAGGGGACTCCTCTAGAACTTGTAGTACCTCTGGCTCTTCATCTGAGGGACTTCCAGTCATTTTGTGCCCTAAAGCCTCATTTGTCCTGAAGTCTTGTAAGTCCCGTTCCTTATCTATTATCACCCATTCCTTGGAATCAACCTCCTGCCTGCAGGAGCTTAAGTTAACAGCTACAAATCCATTGCTCATAACACCATCAGCATGGTCTGGAGAAATAGCTGACCCAGGTTTTGAAGCATCTGGAAGATATTCTTCATCATAATGCCAAACATGGTCCATGCGAGCAGTCACAGGAGCAGGAAGGGGTGTTTTCTGAGAAAGAGGAGGAACAGCAGCAGCAGGAGTCTCTGTCGCAGCATTCAAGTCTTTCTGCCTCTTCTCCAAACTTGAGAAAAGAAGTTAATATCTGAATTAGTTAAGAATTAATTAAATATTGTAAGTTACATTTGAGGTTTTTTGGTAGGAGAAAACTAGATTTCTATAAAAATTTGTTGACATATTTTAGAACAATCTACAATGGTTCCACAATTTGAGGCAAGCAAGTCTAGTGTCAAGTAAAAATGGATGCATGATCTTAGAAATGTACACATATTATAACTTTCATTGTAATGTATCATGTTGTATTGTAAATATAAATACCAGAAGGGAGAACAGTGTGTGGATAAAAACTCAGTGGTGAGGTTACCACCAGATGGTCCGTCGTACTTAAGTTACAAAGCAGAGACTCAAAGCAGAAGAAACAGATGTCTTCACCAGCAGTTATTAGGTGCTTTCAAGAAGAATGTTATTGTCTTGATTGATTCCTTACTTATGCTTTGGATAATTTGCTTCATCAAACAAATTCAGATTCCAACCTCTGCTATGAAGTATTTAGAAGAAATCACTGTCATCACTACAGCTCCCTTCTACTGTCCCCACTCGACCTCTACCAGGTTTCATAGTGTCCTTCTCCCCTTATTCTTTCTACACAGAGGTAAACTGATTGAATCTGTTTTCGTACATCTGCCTCTTCTCTACCTTGAAATTCCATTTCGATACCTCTGTCTTCTATCAAGTTTTTTTATGTTGGTGCAACACCTTTGGGTGTAACTAAGCCTGCTACATGCAGGCAAATTTCTAACTTTACTTACTAACTTCACTTTCTGTAAACTTTCCTTCTCATGTCATATAGCCTAATATCATGTTACCTCTGTTAAGTACCTGATGTCATCATTCTTACTTAGGATGAGTTGTAATGACTATCAAGAGTATGTCACTGAAGAAAAAGTTAATAAACATGAGAGTTAGACCACTTGGTCTTGAAATAAAAAATTCCCAAGTGTGGAAGTTAGAGTTTAGCTGTATCCTACCACTGATCTTTTTTTAAAGAGGTTGCCAAGTAGTGAAATCCATTAATTGAGCAATATTATGAAAATATTTTGCCGTAGCTGGCATAAGCATAGTCAGCACCTCCATTTCTCATCTTCACATGGCAAAGAAAAGATAACAGTGTCCTTACTATATATGTTTGAAAGATGTAAGCATAACAATAAAATAATTTCTTTACCAAGTCTCAAGAAACTTATCAGTGTCTGGCTTTGATTCCAATGTCATGCGCTTCTCCAGTTCAAAGCTGTGAATTGAACGTAACTTTCGCACCAGTGGAACATCCCTGTCTAACTGGGTGGTCTCTGAGCGAACACGAATTGGAGAACCGAGACTCGGTGCATTAAGCATCCCATTCACTGGCCCATGGCTGTTTTCTTCCTCTGTGGCAGCCTGTGCAGAGAGTAAAGTAAAAATGTAAATCACTAGGAGAAGCAAAACACAGGAAGATAAGGTACTGCATTCAAGTTTTTAGCATGTGAAAAGCCAAGTTGTATTTGGAATGGTCCTTCAGTTCACAACATACTTAATGTAGTTTAGATATGCTCTTCAGCACACACCTACAACAGACAAAATACTAGTAATATACTAGTTATGGGTAGGTCTGAAAATGGCAGTCTCAAACACCAAGTAATTACACTTAAATTGATTCTGATATTTTCTTTAACAATAGTCTGCAACCTGGAACTTGGTAGCATCTTTGGTCTACTTTACAGTCAAGTTCTCTTATTAAAGAGAAATTAGCTTCCAAGTTATCTTTTTGATCCTCTGGAGCCTATAACACTGTTATAAACTAAGTCTACTAGGTATTTCTGTGACTTCAAAATAGGTTTTAGTCCAACCTCATTCCACCTTGTATAATAATGGAGCATGATTTAAAGCTGGGAAATCATGATCATCCTTAGTTCCTACAGGTATAATTAATAGAAATTGCCTTTGTTTAAATCCTTCTCCCCCTTCAGTAAAAAAAAAAAACAAACAAATAAGTATATTTGAAAATAGGCACCACAGTGCATTTTTTTCTAACAAACAAGAAGTGACAGCTGCAAAACTAGACAGCTCTCCTAGATAAAGAACATTTCAGTACCAATACTTCACATTAAAAACTTTTTTTTAATCAAGAAACAGGGTTATATTTGTTTGAGTCTGAAATACTATGATTGTGAGTAAGGCAGACAGTAACCAATTCTCAGAGACCACTTTTGAAAATAAAGTGGCATTCTTTTCCAGTGATTAGCCCATGAACCTCTGGATCAGTACAAAGGTATAATATCTTATGGAGACAAAGCTACCAAGTGAAGTAAATGGATACTGCCAACCACACTACTAATCTGCCAGTTGAAGAACATTAAACTCTTTTTAGTACTTTCAGTATCTAAGTTCTGCACAAGCAAGATGCAGGAAATTTGCTTTGATTTCATTCAGTGAGCAAGAATCAAGACTGTGTCTGAAGAACATGAACATGAGTAAACTACAAAGCATTTCAAATTATCAGCAAGCTACCAGAGAGACCTGACAAAGTGACACAAGGCCCAAAAATCTGTCTGTTTGTTTCAGTATATAAAATGTGTTAGCTCTACCATAAATCTGGCTAGTCAGTATCATTGCTGCATTAATAATAATATCTTATGTGCACTACGAGAACAGGAAACATGTTCAAAGCTGGTCTTCACGTTGCAGATTTGAAAGTACCTTACAGATCCCTAGTTTTATTTTGTTTCTGTTTGCATCCATTTCTTCCCAAACATCTTTTTCCTGAGGACGCTGATGGCCAGGGGATCCAGGTAGTTTCTCTGGTGAGACACCAACTGGAATACCATTCTCTCCATCACTGAGTTGTTCATCAGGAAATACTTCATCTGTATTCTCCCGCAGCAAATCTCCTGGGATAGGAGTGGCATTGGCAATTCTACAAAAGTAGTTTAAAAAAAAATCAGAAAGGTAAGAATTTTGATACCCTCACATATTTACAGAAATTATTTTCTATTTAAAAAACAAACAAAAATTATAAGGAAAAGCATGTTTACGTAGAAAACTAAATCTTGTAAATTATGTAATATAAAACCCCTTACATTCTGGCTTTCACAATTTATGTTTCTTCAATTTAGGCATATAACAAAAGATGTAAGTCAAAAAACCAAAAGGTGTTTTCTTGAATGTTTTCAAAGCCACTTGAGAGAATATTTGTTAGAGATCATGTCTGGGCTCAGCTTCACTCCTGACTCTTCTATACATATTCTTCTATTCAAAAAAATTAATGGCAACTTGCATCATACAGTTTCCTTTACCCAAAAATTTGATAGAGGAACAAAACATTCTGTGTAAGGAAGAACAATTACTGAGCAAACTAAATGTAGTTTTAATCACTATTCTTATCACAGTGCTATTTTGCTCCAATTATTGATAATCAAAACATAAGCATAACACTAACAAGACATTACACTTTAATCAAAGTTCTGTAATCCCATTGATTTCAGGCTGAACAGAGCTAAGGTTTAGCTCAACATCTGAAACAGAAGCAATGCTAGACCTAAAAAATAAATGCTCAGAAGGTCAACTAAAAGTCATTCTTTTACAGTCAACAAAACTGCTAATTGCAGCCAAGACTACCAATAACCAGCCTGATGCTCAGTGTGATAGTGGGACTGATCCATATGCAAAATCCCTGTCAGCCTCAGTGTGTTCAATAGTGCACAGCATACACCTGTGTAATAATATAACAGATAATATAACCAATTGGTGTCTTGATGGATATTTACTTTAACTTTTTTTTTTTAATTACCTTGACATACTGAGAATTTAATACATGAAATTCTGGCATTCTTCAGCCTCACTACACTGTCAAAACTCCCACCTTTGTGATTTTTAGCTAAAAGTTGATCTATTCAAAGCCTAGAACAGGTACAGTCTTCCTGCCCACCCATAAACACTTCTTACATTCTTCAATCCCCTGAGTACCAGTATTATTAAACATTGCATCTTATCCAACGTACTTTATTACAGAATGTCTCAAATACCATATTAAATATTATTTTAAACACAACCAAAATCTATTTCCAAATTTCTTACAAAGACCCATTCATTTTTCAAAGTTATAAGGAAATGGTAGCTAGAAGTTTATTCCAGAAAACAATGGGTTTATTTCCAGGCAGTTAAATTTCCAGGCAGTTAAAGTCAGGACACATTATTTAGTTTCACAAAATATGATTTAGCAAAGGATGAATGAGCAAATTTATACACAATTTCCTGGAGTATGATTTTTTTATTGCTATAAATTTTAGGACTGCAGTGCTGATCTTTAAGTATAATATAAACTGGAACCCTAAAAAGGGAAATACTTCAAATGCTCCCAAGCCTCCACTCCTGTATGTATTCAACATTCCGTAGAAAAAAACCCCGAAATTACAGAGATAATTTCCTTTTGGTAGGAAGCCCCTCTGTGGCTACTGAAGTGCCCACAATGTGCATACATACCCAATTGCAGCCGGTGTAAGACGAGTGTGTAACTGAGGTGTGGTTGAGGTTGTTGTTGTTGTCAGAGACCCATCAGTTCCGCTCTTCTCCCAGTCAAATGGGTCACTTTCAACAACCCCAAATGTCTTCATGCTATTCTCAAACACAGACATGAGAAGCTGAAAACGAAGAAAAAAGTTAATAAGCTTCATTTGTGTCTAAGAGAACAAGTAATAAAGAAATATATCCTCCTGTAATACTGACAAGAATTTTCTTTATGTTAACCGCTTCTCATTTTTCAAGATTTCTAACTCAAGATACACAAAATCCTGTTTTATTTAAAAAAAAAACCACATTTAGCCACATCTGTCTTTATATCAGGTATGAGGCAATGATACACCATAGACTTCCACAAAAAGAGAAATACACACACACAGAAGCATGACTACATTGCTGCAGAATATTATACAATGGCCCTCCAGCAGAGGAAGAGAAAAGAATATATTTGGTAACATCAAGAAACCAAGGAAATGAATGAGATGTAGGGAAGCATTTGCCAATTCATACATTCCTGTCATTAAGAACTACATATCATTTACTTCACCTAATGCTGACATTCATCCTACGTGAATGTCTAAGTTTTCCATCCTCATTTTATGCTACAAAGAAGCATTTAGAAAAATTTGTGACCACGACAGAAAAAGAAACTGCATCATTTTTTCCTCTCTTCATGAAAAAAACTGTCTCATTCCAGTCACTGATGGGAAGGCTGTGTCTATATCATTCTCTTACTCTAACATTTCTAAATTTTTCCTAAAAGCTAATACTCTAGTTTTCATCCTTTTTTTTCCAATGTAGGATGCTGAAAATTTTTCTACAGTATCCTTGGGCATACCCTTTAGCAACTTAAAATAGAGAGGAAGTTTGAATCATTTTTCTTCTACAGAGTGGTCTCGCCCATTTAATCCTTACTCTCAAGAACCTTCTGTGTGCCACCCATCCCAGTCAGATCTGTAACCCTACTGAATTGCAGAAATCCTTAGTTCACACTGCCCCTTAAGTACTCTGTTTTATTCTCCTCTTCTTGTAAAACTTCAGCAGTATCTCTGAATTAATTTTTCAGGTCACTCTCCTTTAAATATTTTTATCAAATTCTGCCATAATGCAAATACAAACTCAAATGCTTAACATCAGGAGGCTGAAGTAATGTGTGTGCAAACACCTGAATAAACATCTGACATTGCCAAACCACATATGGATTCTGGGCCCATGTCATGAACATTTTGGACAGTAAACTCTTCAAAGAAGAGATGTCAACCAGAAACATACATATGTTCTTGTTCAGTGCCTACCCATAAATACAAACAAAGAATGATACATGTAGAAGGTAGGAACAGCAACTCTGCAAGCACAAGAGACATCAGAGTTTAAAAGACCATTCTCAGTGCTCTGTATAAAACCCTTCTCCGGTCTAAAGCACGTGAGCGAGACTGTGTCGTAAGGCTCAGGCTGCAGCTACGTAACTGCAAATGTTCCATGACCAACCACTGTAATTACTGGGTTGTCTTTATCATGGAAAAACTCTGTCCTGGTATCGTGTTAATCCCTGAGTGCATGTACTGTGTTAGATATAAATAGAACACACAAAAAGGTTTTGCAAAAATATGCCTGTGTATATGCTATATGTATATGTATAATCAAGGTCTGTCCATACAACATCAACATTTCTGCAATTAGTAATTTTTACCATAGGAAAAAAAAAAATCTGATGCCTCTTTATAACTAGGCACACAAAACATCGAAATGTTTTCCCTCGATTGTAAACTATAGGACAATTTCCATGGAAATTTGCAATAGAAAAGAATAAAGAAAAAAAGGTACTTATTTTGAAAATGTGCAGAAAAACATACCAGTACATTTAGAGAAGTCCACTTAACACAAAATTAGTTTTTCCTTGAGATTTTTAATTATTTCAATTCTTATATATCTTGATTTCTTTGTTAATCTTACCATGCAAAGCATAGGAATCATTCTTCTCAAAGTTACAATTCCAGACTTAGTCAGAACTATTTATTTATTCAGTTGAACCAATTCAACTTGAACACCAACAGAACACCATTCCTTCTGGTTTTGCTGAGTTAGTGAGTTGAACAAATGCACAGAGGCAGACAGGCAGTACAAGTGGGAAGCAAACAGCAATGTGTGTTTCTGGGAGCCAGAGGGAAGGAACACAGGGACAACTTGTTGTGGTGTAATATCAGATCAGCTCAACTTCTCCCACAGTTTGTGAGACTGAAAAACCTCTCAAGTCTCTCCCTTCCTGCTTTTCCCAAGCAATTCCTCTGCTGCTTTCCACAAACCGGCATAGAAGAAAGTTCTATATTTATTGTTTAATCATGGGTCAACACTGAGTAAGACACACATTCTACAGCATATCCTGTTGGCACATATCACCTTATCGCCAAGCAGAGGCTGCTCATTTCAGCAGGCAATAGTCTCAGACAAAGAAAAATGACTCGTTTTCTGGTGATCTCTGTAGGCAGTACTTCAGTCTTAAAAACCCATCATGAGTGCATGTTGTGCTCTAAGTGTAGGTGCTGAGTTCCAGACTTTGGAAAACTGCCAGAATGACTATCACTGAGAGAACAATCTGCTCAATTTAACTTACAGAGCACCCACTAGAGGCTATGATAGTAGGACAGCTCCCCATCCTAACAGAATACTGACTGAAAAGTATATTGTCAATTGGTCTAGAAGCTTCATAGCCTTACACTTCCCAAATGGAAAAAACAAGACATATCTGAACCACAAAGTTTCTGTGGCACTAGATGGTCATTAAAGTAACTTTGTGGTGGCACAAACCATAACAACTACCAAGATTACACAATGAAATCAAAGAAAATTGAAGATGAAACCGCATAAAATTCTCATATTTATAAAACAGAAAGACAAAATAGCACAAGTGTTTACCTGGTAATCAGGCTTTGTAAAGTAATCTAAATTAGAAATGTGATCCAGAAAGACGTTAAATTCTTGAGGAAGATGTTTCAACATAAGTCTGTGTTCATACCTTTCTTTAATGGAGCCCACTTGCTCCTAGGAATAAGTAACACAACAAACATTACCACATCTTCATTCTCTGCTACAACATATTTACATTGTATGTTACAGCCATTCAATACACTACAGGCCAGAACAGAAGGTCAGTACATTACAACCAATGCTGAGAAAGTCTGCTCTACATCAGATGGAAAGATAAGACATTCTGTCATTGTTTCCAGTACACTTGCAAAATAATGTACAAACGTCAATTCAATATGAAAAGCCATTTAACTTTCTGTTGTGTTTGTGTTGTGTTTGAATGCTGACTGATATCAAGGATTGTCATTAAACAGTCCAACTTTTCCAGAAGGTATGTTTTAAAGATTTAAATATCCTATTGCATTATCTGAAGTTCAGTCACTTTTTGGTGTTTATTCGGTCATGTAACATGAGTAAATAAAAAAAAACAAAACAAAAAGGAGCTGCCACCTATATATCACATTGTCATCTACACAAACCACATCAGAGAGTAACCAGGTTTCAGTATAATTTCAGAAGAAGTTGCAAGAAGTAATAACAGGCTAATTAGATGTTGTTTCTTTGCATACCTCACCTAGGATATATGACTTAAGACACTACTGCATATTGCCTGATTCACTTTTGTTCACCAGCAAATAAGAAATGCCCATTTCACAAGTAATCAAAAGAGGCAGGTGTGATAGCTGAAATAAAGTACAAGTGAAAACAGGAATAATGAAATAAGGGGCAAATATACATTTACTTTTGCCATTTAAAATATTTTCAATCTAGAGGCAAACCTACTTCCTGCCTAGAACAGTTCATAAAATTTGATTGCTTTTTATACCATGACAGTAGAAACAAGAACTAGCACTAGAAAACACTGGAAAACCTAATGTTAAAATTAATGAACCAGTGATTCTTAGTGGAATCTTTATCATAGCATTTCCCTGGAACCCAGAAATATATTTCCCTCATGCTGGTTTCACCTCCAGGTTTACCTTATCTTTTATTTTTCTCCAAGGCAGTTGCCCAACCACAAATTCCACCAACATGTAGAATAGAGACCAAAGATCATCATGCCGACCCATTTCCTGTGAAAAAGAAATATTATTCTAATGTATATTACAAATACCTAAGACAGGAGGGAAGACAAATTCTTTACTGCTAAAGAGTTGAATTATGACATATAAAATTTAATATAATCTACACTGCAAAACCAGTTTCATTAAATCCAGTCAACTATTTTAAGGAGAAATGTACAAGTAAATTTCCACAGAGAAACAACAAAAGTTGAAATGTGTTAAAATGACATTGCAAATGTCTATACTGGGAGAGCTGTTTATTTGGATTTCTTTAGTGTATGATGTTAAGACAATGTACTGGACATTATGTACTTCATAAAACACAGTAACTTCACCTTTTTAGTTTATTAACTTACAATACAACTGAACACCAAAGGTACTATTAAAACTATTAATATTTCTACATCAAGAACCTTTCTATCCTCTACTACTGTAAAGTATATTATCCTTTCACAAACATGTAATTTCTATTAATTTCTACATAATAAATGCACAAATAAGAATACAAAAAAAAAGAAATGAATAGTAACTGCATTACTGACTGATTTCAGCTACATGAGATGGGTATGATACAGATTGAGATACTCACTCTGTTTCTATGAGCATTGATTGATGCATATCGTACCGTTCCTCGAAAACCAGCGACAGCTCGTGGCTGTCAAAGAATAAAAAAGAAAAGATTCTCATTGTCAGAAATAAACCCTCTGACAACTTAACTTGGCATCTACAAAGTGACTATGGAGCCACAACATATCTCATTTGGGACTTTTATTTCAGTTTAACATATTTCTACAAGTTCTCAGTGGAAATCCAACAAGGAATCACGAAGTGACATTTGTCACAGTTTTTTAAAGTATGTGATAGTTTTTAAACTATGATCTATTGATGTCAGTATTTGTTCTCCATAGGCATCATGTCCTGTTTACCTCATTCCTCAACACAGTTATATGGTAGAAATATTCCCTTTTTTTCTCCAGTGCTGAAACTATTTCTTAGTTCCAACGATTACAAGTTTGAAGGTTTAAATTTGGACAGGATCTAAACCATAACTTCTTCCTCTTTGCTAAAATACACCAATATTATGTGGTATGAACATACAAGCAGCAATTTATTGAAGTGTGTTACTAATATTTTCACAAATTATTTTCTGAGTTAGCAAACCAATCCATTTTTTGAGAAATTCCAAAAGCAGAGTAAGCCACAGGTAAGTCTCAATGCTATAGCTGAGCAATAAATAGAAAAGGCTGCACTGCAGACATCAATTTAAAATATTTCTTTCTTCTCTAGTTTCTGAAAACCAGCATTTCCTCCCTGGTAGTCTAGATATCATACAATCATAAGTCAATTGGTGTTTTATAATCCCAGAATACATTTTCCCATCCTTCTTTCCTTCAAATAAAACATTACAGAAAGAATCATATAATTGCAAAGTCATCATATTTACAATTTAAAAACAAAACAAAACAAAGCAAAACCATGGTGTTATTACTTTACCTAAGGTAGATATCAAATCCATGTTACCTCCTTAATTAATCATTCTATATAGACAGAATTGCCAGGACTGCTAAACTTGCTTTCTTTGATGCAGTCTTATCTTCCCAATCAATACCTGTTTTTGTTTCTTCTAGCAATGAACATAGGAAGCTTCAATTATCTACTTCACCTCTAACTCGTACTTAAAGAGGTATTGGTGATCTGTCTGCTTTTCCACGACTCACGATAACTCTTCAGATTTTAAAAAACTGGTTTTATATACACACAAACATAACCACAATACAAAAATTATTAAGATAAAACACTTCCATCTCTCCCTACCCATATATATATATATATGTAAGTATAATTCTTTCTTATCCACCAACAGAAACTATACAGAACTATCATTTAAATAAATCAGGAGCTGTTTTTGCTGCCAATAACTCTGCCAATTGGATCCAACAGGATTATGCAGCAACGTCTTTAATAAAGGATTCAACAGCCCATATAATCAACGTCTGCTAGAGTAGTATGAACCAGTGTTGGTTAAGAGAATACCTTCAAGGATATTCTTTACATGAAAGTTCTCAGATGATATTTCATAAATCTTAGGGTTAAATATATTTCATAAATCTTATCATAAAGTTTAAATGGTGCTTGGAACACATGTCATGTTCAGGTAGGACAGACTCAATTGTCTGTCTGCCTTGTTATTGTCTTTAATCTTATATCATCTTATATCACATACTGAACATTATCCTACACTGAAACAACATTGCAGTTGGAGAAAAAAATTTTTCAAAAAAAGCACTTAAGTCTCCTTCTGTAGTAGTTGTGCAGGTTGGCAAACCATGCAAGAAAGAATAATATAGCATCACTGCCAAGACAATCAAAATACACATAAATTTACAAAAAGATTCAGTTTAACGAATAGCACTTCTTCAGAAGAGCACTGAGAGCTTAACTTTAAAACAGTTGAAAATACAAATTCCATACATGTCAAGAGCATATAGTTTCAGAAGACGAAATCAAATGTTTACTATCTTCAGCCTCTGGTATGAAAGTTAAAAAGGAATGACTATATTCAGTTTTACTAAGTTAAATATTTCCATTCTTGTGAAAATAATGAAAAATATGAAAACTAGGATGAAATGAGACTTTTATTTCTAGTATAATAACTTCAATTCCTACTTGATAGCTAGGACAAAAATGCTTCAGTTGCTGGACAAAGCAATAGGAAAAGACTACGAAACGTCATATGAAAACTAAATCATCCCATTTAGTTTACAAAACCTAACAATCTGACTTATTCCAGTTCTGTCCTGGGGGAGAAAAGTCCATATGAGGCATTTCATTGTGTACCTATTCAAATGCCTTTGAATGTTAAAGTCACTGCCATCCCTACTAGTCCTAAGATGATTTCAATTATCTGAGAATCACCTGGAAGGGAAGGGGCAAAAAAAGAAAGAAAGAAAAAAAAAAAAAGGTATGAATAGTGTTTCTATCTATGAGCTTATCTTGAAGTGAATTCTGAATTACTTACTCCAAGATATCTCTTGCCTTAAAGTATGGTTCCTATGAATCTGATTTAAAAGCATATGTAACTCCATTATATTTTAAGACACAATGAAATACCTTTTAGTAACGCATCTGGTCACCACTTAATAGTGGTATTATGATGCCACACAACAACAATTAAATAATTCTACCATGTCACTATCAAAGTGAATGATGGCTCTGTAGGCTAAATCAAGTTTGACTAATTCAGAATAGAACATACAAACTTCTGAGCATTTGCTCAGTTTCAGAACTCTTCATGGACCTCACAACATCTCATGAAGCAAAAGAGAAATACTACAGGCAATAACAGCAACTTCATGAATGATTCACTGCGTTCTTTCAAATAAAAATTCTCCTCTGCTGTTACTGATCACCTTGTTTTGTTTCAGGACACCTCCAAAACATACTTTGCAAATCTTCAACAAAATTGTACCTTGCTTGGTTCAGTTTACATTAAAAAAATTTTCTAATATAATTAACTCAGGCAGTGATCTGAAAGTCAGGATTGTCTTGGTTTTGATTACTGTCACTAAACTCTTCAAATTTTTGTTAAAGTAAATTATTTTGAAGATACATGCACATGAAGCAGATTCAATGACCACTCATAAAGGTACTTCTAAATGTAACATAAAATTTCTTTGCAGGTGGCCCTGCCCTGGAAACACTTGACAATGTCTCAGATACACTAGATCCAGGAAAACAGGAATTCCTAGAAAAGTGAACTATTTCCTCTAAGCACACAGATTTGCAGATTCCTGGGAGACACTATGCTTACAAACCTGTCTACAAATGTGGCATCTTTGAAGAGGTGTGGTGAAAGCAAACCACTCTCCTTAGTTCAGTGTCTCCAGATAAATGCTCTGGGTTCATTGCTCTGGGCAACATTGGAAATGTTACACAGAGCAAAAATTTAACTTGTTATTGCATTCATGCAAAATAGATAACAAACATGAAAAAATAAACCCATACTGATTCTTTACATTATACCTCACACACACCATGGTTCTCCCTATCAATCAGGCAATGATTGAGTATTCTTAAGTGTCTCTAGGTTTTGCACTGAGAAGTCAGCAGTGCTGCCTCTAAAGTCAAGTTCAAAAGCACATAGCAAGGTGAGTAGAGAAGTAGCCACCTGTGTTACCCCTATTTTCCTTTGTTAAAGGCAGAAGAATCCTTCTTTTTTATGTTTTTCTTTAAAAAGTCAATTTCTCAGTTCTTATGCCCACCAGGAATATATTTCCATAACTACACACAATTCCAATTCTTTCAAACCTTTTTTCACACCAAATAGCTTCAACCACTCACATTCCAATCCCACCTTTCTGGGGGATACAGGCTTTGCAATCTACTGTCATGCCCAGCATGCTTTAGCACCAGTTAAAAATAAATGAAAAATTTAGGGATCTTCTGATTAAGGAAAGATGAAGCAGTTGAAATACGATTGCCATAACAATGTATTATACATCTTAATTAGTTTTCACTGCATATACAGCTCTTCAAACCCACACAGTCAGCTCTATCTTAAAATCCACATCAGACACTAATAATTGAGTATTCACACTTAGAACTCTTTATCAACCCATTTCCTACAGTTATTGGTATGACACGTTACTTAGACTCAGATCTACCTAAACAAATTTTATGATTTCCAAAACTGATTGCAGCAGTGCGATCCTATGCTACCAGAAGCCGGGTAACAAGCTGAGTTAACATCTAAACAGTACAATTACATTGTGCTATTGTGAGTTCTAACAGACATGTGGTGACAAATGAAAATTTAACTCCCACTGCATGTGCTATAAAGAGCATCACCATCTCTAAGGCAGCAGTATTTGATACATAAACCAAGCTCCTGAGCTACTCAGTTTTCAGTCTGGAGTATTTACTCAGCCAATGTGATGCACTTACTGAAAATGACAATCGTTCCAAAGCTGATTCATGAGCAGACAAAAAGTCTGGTGGGCTGGAGATGGTAACAGCCTACTAAGTGTCTGTCTCAAACCTGAACTTACTGCAGTGAAAAATCACACAGGATAAATCTGCCATGTATATTTTTGCTTTGCCCCGTGCAGTCTTTCTTCTTCCTCTTATACCATGAGCTGAAGCAGAAATTGCTATCAGAGGAAGACTCTACATAAACCAGCTGTGCTCCAGCAGATAATTTCCCCAGACAGCAGAATATTGTTTTATTTATCTCCATAAGTCAAAATTTTACAGTTGTTCTGCACTATGGGAAGTTCTGTGCTCTTAGCAGAGTTCTGACTGGAGAACCAATACCTTAATTTTTAATTGTTTTGTACATATCTTATTAAGTATTTATAATGATAACGATTACACCATATATTAAAGAGCTGCATTAATCCAGAAGTAGATCATTTCGAGTAGTAGACTTATTTCGACTATGAATGCAAAGCAAAACATCTCAAGCAAGCTAATGTACATAAATATACCCTCTTTCTACTTCTCTTCCCCATCCCACAGGGGCAGAAGAAGTGTGAGGGAAATGAACAAGAGGCTGAGGCTAAACCACAACAATAAAACAACACATTTTTCTTCTTTTCTTAAACTGTACAAAATAATTTTTCATAACTTAGCAGAGAATTTAGCTCATAACTCAGA